GTAAACTCCTTGTAATGCAGTGGTAAGTTTCTACTAAACCATAGTAAACGCACCTTGTAGTGCAGTGGTAAGTTTCTACTAAACCATAGTAAACTCCTTGTAGTGCAGTGGTAAGTTTCTACTAAACCATAGTAAACGCACCTTGTAGTGCAGTGGTAAGTTTCTACTAAACCATAGTAAACTCCTTGTAGTGCAGTGGTAAGTTTCTACTAAACCATAGTAAACGCACCTTGTAGTGCAGTGGTAAGTTTCTACTAAACCATAGTAAACTCCTTGTAGTGCAGTGGTAAGTTTCTACTAAACCATAGTAAACGCACCTTGTAGTGCAGTGGTAAGTTTCTACTAAACCATAGTAAACGCACCTTGTAGTGCAGTGGTAAGTTTCTACTAAACCATAGTAAACGCACCTTGTAGTGCAGGGTAAGTTTCTACTAAACCATAGTAAACGCACCTTGTAGTGCAGTGGTAAGTTTCTACTAAACCATAGTAAACGCACCTTGTAGTGCAGTGGTAAGTTTCTACTAAACCATAGTAAACGCACCTTGTAGTGCAGTGGTAAGTTTCTACTAAACCATAGTAAACGCACCTTGTAGTGCAGTGGTAAGTTTCTACTAAACCATAGTAAACTCCTTGTAGTGCAGTGGTAAGTTTCTACTAAACCATAGTAAACGCACCTTGTAGTGCGGTGGTAAGTTTCTACTAAACCATAGTAAACTCCTTGTAGTGCAGTGGTAAGTTTCTACTAAACCATAGTAAACGCACCTTGTAGTGCAGTGGTAAGTTTCTACTAAACCATAGTAAACGCACCTTGTAGTGCAGTGGTAAGTTTCTACTAAACCATAGTAAACGCACCTTGTAGTGCAGTGGTAAGTTTCTACTAAACCATAGTAAACTCCCCTTGTAGTGCAGTGGTAAGTTTTTACTAAACCATAGTAAACGCACCTTATCGTGCAGTGGTAAGTTTCTACTAAACTATAGTAAACGCACCTTATCGTGCAGTGGTAAGTTTCTACTAAAATAGTAAACTCACCTTGTAGTGCAGTGGTAAGTTTCTACTAAACCATAGTAAACTCACCTTGTAGTGCAGTGGTAAGTTTCTACTAAACCATAGTAAACTCACCTTGTAGTGCAGTGGTAAGTTTCTACTAAACCATAGTAAACTCACCTTGTAGTGCAGTGGTAAGTTTCTACTAAACCATAGTAAACGCTTGTAGTGCGGTGGTAAGTTTCTACTAAACCATAGTAAACTCACCTTGTAGTGCAGTGGTAAGTTTCTACTAAACCATAGTAAACTCACCTTGTAGTGCAGTGGTAAGTTTCTACTAAACCATAGTAAACTCCCCTTGTAGTGCAGTGGTAAGTTTCTACTAAACCATAGTAAACGCACCTTGTAGTGCAGTGGTAAGTTTCTACTAAACCATAGTAAACTCACCTTGTAGTGCAGTGGTAAGTTTCTACTAAACCATAGTAAACGCACCTTGTAGTGCAGTGGTAAGTTTTACTAAACCATAGTAAACGCACCTTGTGTGCGGTGGTTTTCTACTAAACCATAGTAAACGCACCTTGTAGTGCAGTGGTAAGTTTTACTAAACCATAGTAAACGCACCTTATCGTGCAGTGGTAAGTTTTTACTAAACCATAGTAAACGCACCTTATCGTGCAGTGGTAAGTTTCTACTAAACCATAGTAAACGCACCTTGTAGTGCAGTGGTAAGTTTCTACTAAACCATAGTAAACGCACCTTGTAGTGCAGTGGTAAGTTTCTACTAAACTATAGTAAACGCACCTTGTAGTGCAGTGGTAAGTTTTTACTAAACCATAGTAAACGCACCTTGTAGTGCAGTGGTAAGTTTCTACTAAACCATAGTAAACCTTGTAGTGCAGTGGTAAGTTTTACTAAACCATAGTAAACGCACCTTATCGTGCAGTGGTAAGTTTCTACTAAACTATAGTAAACGCACCTTATCGTGCAGTGGTAAGTTTCTACTAAACTATAGTAAACTCACCTTGTAGTGCAGTGGTAAGTTTCTACTAAACCATAGTAAACTCACCTTGTAGTGCAGTGGTAAATTTCTACTAAACCATAGTAAACTCACCTTGTAGTGCAGTGGTAAGTTTCTACTAAACCATAGTAAACTCACCTTGTAGTGCAGTGGTAAGTTTCTACTAAACCATAGTAAACGCACCTTGTAGTGCAGTGGTAAGTTTCTACTAAACCATAGTAAACTCCTTGTAGTGCGGTGGTAAGTTTCTACTAAACCATAGTAAACTCACCTTGTAGTGCAGTGGTAAGTTTCTACTAAACCATAGTAAACGCACCTTGTAGTGCAGTGGTAAGTTTTACTAAACCATAGTAAACTCACCTTGTAGTGCAGTGGTAAGTTTCTACTAAACCATAGTAAACGCACCTTGTAGTGCAGTGGTAAGTTTCTACTAAACCATAGTAAACGCACCTTGTAGTGCAGTGGTAAGTTTCTACTAAACCATAGTAAACGCACCTTGTGTGCAGGGTAAGTTTCTACTAAACCATAGTAAACGCACCTTGTGGTGCGGTGGTAAGTTTCTACTAAACCATAGTAAACGCACCTTGTAGTGCGGTGGTAAGTTTCTACTAAACCATAGTAAACGCACCTTGTAGTGCGGTGGTAAGTTTCTACTAAACCATAGTAAACGCACCTTGTAGTGCAGTGGTAAGTTTCTACTAAACCATAGTAAACACCTTGTAGTGCAGTGGTAAGTTTCTACTAAACCATAGTAAACGCACCTTGTAGTGCAGTGGTAAGTTTCTACTAAACCATAGTAAACTCCTTGTAGTGCAGTGGTAAGTTTCTACTAAACCATAGTAAACGCACCTTGTAGTGCAGTGGTAAGTTTCTACTAAACCATAGTAAACGCACCTTGTAGTGCAGTGGTAAGTTTCTACTAAACCATAGTAAACGCACCTTGTAGTGCAGTGGTAAGTTTCTACTAAACCATAGTAAACGCACCTTGTAGTGCAGTGGTAAGTTTCTACTAAACCATAGTAAACGCACCTTGTAGTGCAGTGGTAAGTTTCTACTAAACCATAGTAAACGCACCTTGTAGTGCAGTGGTAAGTTTCTACTAAACCATAGTAAACTCCTTGTAGTGCAGTGGTAAGTTTCTACTAAACCATAGTAAACGCACCTTGTAGTGCAGTGGTAAGTTTCTACTAAACCATAGTAAACGCACCTTGTCGTGCAGTGGTAAGTTTCTACTAAACCATAGTAAACTCACCTTGTAGTGCAGTGGTAAGTTTCTACTAAACCATAGTAAACTCACCTTGTAGTGCAGTGGTAAGTTTCTACTAAACCATAGTAAACGCACCTTGTAGTGCAGTGGTAAGTTTCTACTAAACCATAGTAAACGCAGTTGTAGTGCAGTGGAAGTTTCTACTAAGTAGTAAAGCACCTTGTAGTGTAGTGGTAAGTTTTACTAAACCATAGTAAACCGGTTTCTACTAAACCATAGTAAACGCACCTTGTAGTGCAGTAAAAGTTTTACTAAACCATAGTAGTGCAGTGGTAAGTTTCTACTAAACCATAGTAAACGCACCTTGTAGTGCAGTGGTAAGTTTCTACTAAACCATAGTAAACGCACCTTGTCGTGCAGTGGTAAGTTTCTACTAAACCATAGTAAACGCACCTTGTCGTGCAGTGGTAAGTTTCTACTAAACCATAGTAAACGCACCTTGTCGTGCAGTGGTAAGTTTCTACTAAACCATAGTAAACGCACCTTGTAGTGCAGTGGTAAGTTTCTACTAAACCATAGTAAACGCACCTTGTAGTGCAGTGGTAAGTTTCTACTAAACCATAGTAAACGCACCTTGTAGTGCAGTGGTAAGTTTTACTAAACCATAGTAAACGCACCTTGTCGTGCAGTGGTAAGTTTCTACTAAACCATAGTAAACGCACCTTGTCGTGCAGTGGTAAGTTTCTACTAAACCATAGGGCACCTTGTCGTGCAGTGGTAAGTTTCTACTAAACCATAGTAAACGCACCTTGTAGTGCAGTGGTAAGTTTCTACTAAACCATAGTAAACTCACCTTGTAGTGCAGTGGTAAGTTTCTACTAAACCATAGTAAACTCACCTTGTAGTGCAGTGGTAAGTTTCTACTAAACCATAGTAAACTCACCTTGTAGTGCAGTGGTAAGTTTCTACTAAACCATAGTAAACTCCCTTGTAGTGCAGTGGTAAGTTTCTACTAAACCATAGTAAACTCACCTTGTAGTGCAGTGGTAAGTTTCTACTAAACCATAGTAAACGCACCTTGTAGTGCAGTGGTAAGTTTCTACTAAACCATAGTAAACTCACCTTGTAGTGCAGTGGTAAGTTTCTACTAAACCATAGTAAACGCACCTTGTAGTGCAGTGGTAAGTTTTACTAAACCATAGTAAACGCACCTTCGTGCAGTGGTAAGTTTCTACTAAACCATAGTAAACGCACCTTGTAGTGCAGTGGTAAGTTTTTACTAAACCATAGTAAACGCACCTTATCGTGCAGTGGTAAGTTTCTACTAAACCATAGTAAACGCACCTTGTAGTGCAGTGGTAAGTTTTACTAAACCATAGTAAACGCACCTTAGTGCAGTGGTAAGTTTCTACTAAACCATAGTAAACGCACCTTGTCGTGCGGTGGTAAGTTTTACTAAACCATAGTAAACGCACCTTATCGTGCAGTGGTAAGTTTCTACTAAACCATAGTAAACGCACCTTGTAGTGCAGTGGTAAGTTTCTACTAAACCATAGTAAACGCACCTTGTAGTGCAGTGGTAAGTTTCTACTAAACTATAGTAAACGCACCTTATCGTGCAGTGGTAAGTTTCTACTAAACCATAGCAAACACACCTTGTAGTGCAGTGGTAAGTTTCTACTACACCATAGCAAACACACCTTGTAGTGCAGTGGTAAGTTTCTACTACACCATAGCAAACACACCTTGTAGTGCAGTGGTAAGTTTCTACTACACCATAGCAAACGCACCTTCATATTCCTCATCATCAAAGAGTTCTTCCTTCTGCACCATGTTCATAAGGCACAAAACTTCAGTCGGTTGTTCAGTTGTTACTTTGTTAAGCTCAAGACCAGGAATCTGCAACTGTACTGGTACCATATTGATCGCTTCAGGCTAAAAACAAAACAAGACATGATAGCCATGTGTATCCTATGGTGTAGCTGCTCATCAACTGTTAACAATATGTTTCTCAAAGACTCGAGTACAGGGGCCCGGTTGCACGAAGCATGGATAGCGTTATCCATTGGATAGCAAATTTTTTAAAGGCTAAAAAACTTCTTAAAAAGGAAAAATATAAGGTTTGAACTTAGCAGCCACTAAAATAAAATTTTGCTTCTAAAATTACAAATTTCTTTGTTGTAACGAAAATATAAACACATTTTTTACACGTTTGAAGATTTTACTATCCAATGGATAACGGTATCCAAACTTCGTACAACCGACCCCTGTACTATAATTTAAAGACAACTATCACGTACATTATTCATGTTTTGTTTTGCACCAACACTAGCACGCTGTACAATCAACTTCTTCTCGCCAAGTTGCATGCCATTCAAACCTTGAATAGCCTGAAATAAAAACGAAAACAACACGATTTAACACAACTAGATAGATGACCTGATCTCGTGGGCACAAATAACAGAGATGTACAAAGGGCATTCAGATTAAGGAGGGGTGTGTGGGTGATTTTTGTTTCTTTATAGACAAAGTTGATGATTTACTGAAAAAGCTCCGTACGGTTTTTAGGAATCATCGTTAATACAAAAGTTTGTAAGACTGAAGATGAAAGATTAATATCACAGACGGCTAGTGAATGAATGAAACTTTTTCTTTATAGCATAAATTAAATAAAAAAACCAATCTCCATCACTCACTGTGTAAAATTGACTAACCACTTTTCAAAAATAGGGAGTGTCACAACCCCCCGTCCTGATGTTATGTCAAAAATAGGGAGTGCCACAACTCCCCGCCCAGATTTTATGACAATTGAATAACATAAGACTTAAAACGATTTTATCAACTTACAACGTCTGTTATAGACATATCCACGTATTCACAGAATGCGTAACCTTTAGAGAGACCAGTAGCACTGTCTTTTACCAAATTGAAAGCTTTCAATTCCCCAAACGACGCAAGCAACTCCTTGACCTATCGAACAAAAATACTTTCAATTTAATAAAAATTCTTTTCTGTAAAATTTAAAGCAACATTAGACGCGTTGTACACACGCAGAAATCTCAGAAACAGAAGTTCCAAAGAAAATAAATTCATCTTAATCAACTAAATCAAGCTCAATTCAATTGATGAGAAATATCCAGAGTCAACTCAAACTAGAGGTCTCATCACTAGGCCAAACTGAAAGCATACGTATAAAAGTTTTTTGTTGTTGAAACAATAATGTAATCTATTTTTGAACGGCTTCAAGGTATAAGCAAACATAGTAATCTTTAAGGAAAATGTCTAGCATATATATAAGCTTAACCACACATTTCATGTGAACAAAAGAACATCTACAACTATATACATACGACAGTTCAATAGGCCGTCAACATTTTCATTTTCCCTAAAGTAACCTAGAACTTAACCTCTTCAATGAAAAGGCTATATTCTATGATTTAATACAGGACATAGATATCTTTGGTTGACCATATAAAAACGGGACTGACGAGCCCAGACAACATGGATTGCATGTGTTAACGTCTTTATTATCCACTCATGTACATATAAATCACTTGCCTTCCCACGACGTGGTTGACAGTTTTACGCTCCCCTAGCTAGGGAGTAAATTTGGAAAAAGAAAAAGCGAAAGAAAGCCGTCAGTTTAAATCATACTACATTATTTTACAGACATGCGTATTACGTACCTTTCTTATTGTAATAGATCATGCATCTATATTTCGAAAACAGACAAGCTCAAACCGAAAGTGGGAAAATTTGGATAGAATTCCAAGCGAGCCATAACACTTTTTCGACTACGTTTTCTGAACAGATTCGAACTGTTTTATTTATGTGTTTGCTCACTCCTCCGAAAAGGAAGGATTTTTTTTGAACGTCAAACGTTCTAAAGCAATGAAGCGGACAGCAAAAACAAAGGCATTTAGCACACAACTAGCATAAAACAAGCGGCAAATCACATTCGGATATCTAGAAGAAAAAGATTAAAAATCTGTTTGAAGGCCACTGGCAGCGAGATCCTAAAGAAAAAGAGGAATATCGACGCTATAACCAAAGAAATTCCTAAAACGATAACAGAAAAATCACCACAATGACACCTAAAAGAGAATGAAAAAAGTTCGTGCTGCAACTCCACCAGTTCTTTGGAACGAAAGCTCAGCGAGTTAAACCTAAAATCATCAAAAGCCCTAAAAGGAAGCATGATGAACAAAGACAACAACACAAACTACAAACAAACAATATAAATCATCTCATTTCTTGTTCATTCATTCCGCTCGATCTGTTCATCGCTTATCGAAAAGTGTTTTGGTTTCTTTCGTTTGAGCTGTATGTTTTCGAAGTGCGTATCATTGTCAAATTTTTGGTACACAAACCTGGTCTTCATTGAGATAGTTTGGAAGGCCACCGATAAATACTTTGTGGGGTGAATCTGGGACAACTGTGGATACAACACCTATACAAGCAAAACGTCAATAAATACTTTGTGGGGTGAATCTGGGACAACTGTGGATATAACACCTATACAAGCAAAACGTCAATAAATACTTTGTGGGGTGAATCTAGGACAACTGTGGTACAACACCTATAGAAGCAAAACGTCACACGTGTTTCTTATAATAGATTAATGGGCACATATTTTCTTTTTTTTAACAAACTGAGCATTCTGTTAAAGAGTAAAATGCACTACATTTGTATTTAACTTTGTGTTTAGCTGAAAACTATTGCCTTGGTCATTCCAGTAAAGTAGATACAAGCTACAACCTCCACCCTCCACTCTTTTGGATAAAAGTTACAAACTCTCTCGATATTAAAGCAGTATACAGATGCAGAAGACACTGAGAATGGAACTCTTTCAAAGCAACTCAATAACACAATTGTTTAGAATATTGATTGAACTACGTATCACGAGAAACTCACAACTGCTTATGAATGACAGTATCAGAAATAATTAAGATAAATTACCTGGAACATGAACCATTGAATCATCTGAAAAATGATGTCAAAAAATTAGTCATGTTTGTTTTTAAGTATAATAATAATAAGTTGACTAAGCTTATTGCAAGTAATGTTTTTAGTGAAACACCATAATCATGTTTTTAATTTCTCATTTTAATAAGCATATCATACAAAACAGTATTTGTAACCTTCTACTCTTCCAATCACCCACCCACCCCCCTCCCCGATGTCAATTAAAATCGTACTTACGAAAGGTACGTACGTGTTGTGCCTCTGTTTTACAAAACACAAACATTTTACGTAGTTGCGTACGGTAATCAAATTCACCTTTCCGACCGTAGACACACGTGTCAAAAATACGAGATCAAATAACAAAATTCGCATCGTCAAATGCTCGGACATTGTATTGTTTATGTAGAATAGTGGCAATAAAATGGCTAGGAGATGCTCTTGGGGCATTTGTAAATCTTATTTTAAACAAGCAGAACGACTAATTATGACAGCAGAAAATGTTAAGAGTGAATAAAAACCATTTTCCGTCAAATGAAAGAAAAGCTTGGATATGACATGCAATATATATGCAAATACAAAGTTATAGAGAAAATTAAAACATTTTAAACGTTGCCGCAGCTCCTATTACGAGTGCCGTAACAAAGTGTTGATGAGCTAGATATGCACTTTTCCAAACAAGCTTAAGAAGACAAAAGGCATGTCAAAAATAAATGATTGAAAACTTGCTCAGCACGTCTAGAAGCACCAATTTCAAATTAATTGAGAATGAATCTCAGTATGCGTAATCAACCGCACCAATTCTCCAAGTTCATGGTCACGGCAACGACCAACTGTATGTACTAGTACCGATTATGGAGTAATTAGCTCGCTGTGTCACAAATTTTCAGAGAAATTATCTGCGCATGCGCAGTTTGCTTAAGCACGCGCATTCAACTTGACCAGCTGTTTAAGTTCATGGTCATGGCAACGACCAACTGCATCTACTAGTACTGATTTTGAAGTAAATAGCATGCTTAGTAACAATTTAATAGAGAAATCATCTGCGCATGCGCTTAAGCATGCGCAATCCACCCGACTAATAGTTCATAGTCATGGCAACGACTAACTAGATCCACTTGCACTACTTTCGTGGCATCTCAAGAGCATCTCCTAACCATTTTATTGCCACTACTCTACATAAACAATACAATGTCCGACCATTTGTTTGTCCGAATTTTGTAATTTGATCACATATTTTTAACACGTGTGTCTACAGTTGGAAAGGTGGATTAGCCAAAACTCTGACACTCATCGCAAGCGCGGACAGTTTTACAATAGCTTTCAATTAACATACCACCCATTAATCCTGGTACTGCTTGATAATCTTTAGGACGACGGATTTTCAATGACTGACCCTAAACAACATTGATTTATGAATAGCTAATAATAAAATATAATCTCACTTACATTTTTTACAACAAAGTATTTTTTTGTATATATAATAAGCATGATATCAATTATCATGTAGGTACTTTAAAAGTTTATAATGAAACACAAAATTTTAATGCAAAAGTTAATTGCAATCTATAAAACTGTTTGACATTAAAAGTGCTGATTTTGGAAATTTCGCCTTTACTAGAGCAAGGAATTTATTGTCCAGTAAATTGAACAGATGTCTATAAGAAGGCGACAGGTATGTAATTGAGGCTAGGCATGTATAGCAGAAAAGTATTTAACAAAAAAAAACAACAGACATTTACATGTCATTTATGTCAACAAGATGATCAAAGACAATGTCAAAAATACACAAGATATGTACCTGCAAAATGATTCCATCAAATGCCATGGCTTGTGTTGTTTCCTCAACTGAACGAAACTACAAAAAAGAGAAAAATGAACTTCATAAATGGAAACACAGTACATTTGCTTTAATAAAATAATTTCCATTAGTAAGCTTTCACATTAATACCTCAAGAAAAGCATAATTTTTTTCCATATCAATCTGAGCTGTGATCACTGGACGACCACTGGCTGTACACAAACCGCATTCTTGCATTTTAGCATTAAAGAATTCAACCATCAAGTCCTACAGAAAATATAAAAAATCAAAACTAATGTAATGAGCGAAGCTCAAACTAAACAAACTACCTATGTACATAGACTGCAACATTACAAAAGAATCTTGACAACCTAAACTTGCGTGACAAAACTTTAAATTATGATATATATATTTAAGACTGTATCATCTGTGTGACTACACAAACTTTTTTAAGACACTTTGTTTTCCTAAACCTATACTTGCAGAGTTTTGCCTAGGGACATGTGAGTGCTTGGTACAAACTTTTCCAAGACACTACTTTTTCTTAAACCTACACTTGCAAAGTTTTGCCGAGGGACATGTGAGTGCTTGGTACAAACTTTTCCAAGACACTTTGTTTTCCTAAACCTACACTTGCAGAGTTTTGCCTAGGGACATTTGAGTGCTTGGTACAAACTTTTCCAAGACACTACTTTTTCCTAAACCTACACTTGCAGAGTTTTCTCTAGGGACATTTGAGTGCTTGGTACAAACTTTTCCAAGACACTTTGTTTTCCTAAACCTACACTTGCAGAGTTTTCTCTAGGGACATTTGAGTGCTTGGTACAAACTTTTCCAAGACACTTTGTTTTCCTAAACCTACACTTGCAGAGTTTTTCCTAGGGACATGTGAGTGCTTGGTACAAACTTTTCCAAGACACTTTGTTTTCCTAAACCTACACTTGCAGAGTTTTGCCTAGGGACATTTGAGTGCTTGGTACAAATTTTTCCAAGACACTACTTTTTCCTAAACCTACATTTGCACAGTTTTCTCTAGGGACATTTGAGTGCTTGGTACAAACTTTTCCAAGACACTTTGTTTTCCTAAACCTACACTTGCACAGTTTTCTCTAGGGACATTTGAGTGCTTGGTACAAACTTATTGTGCCATGTGAGTTCTTTCGAGCATTTACTTATCAAATTGGTTGCTAAGTAACTACATGTACATACACCTGAAATATCAATATGTTGTTTGAGCAAATATTATGAGCAATGATTTGTTGAGAGTTTACTTGAGTATGACATCTCTGATTTTAAGTGACAAGCTAAAGTATCCGGTTTGTCTTGAGTGTCAAGGAAAACTGCCAAGTGCTGGGGTGCAAGAAAAGCCCACTGTGACAGAACCCTGAGTTTTATGAGTAATATTGTTACCTCTGTAATACCAAATGGTATGTTTCCAACATATAATCGGCGAGACTGTCTGCTGATGTTGCTTGCTTGGGTGATACCAGTTACAGCACCAGGCAAGGCTGGACCAGCTGTTGGTATTTCTCCAGCAGCTAAAAAGGCATAAAAAATGAGGTTTTATTTGTGCTAAGATTTCCACCAAATGAAATGCTTTACATATATGTATGTTACGTACGTATGCACCATTAATTTATAGCAGTTCATGTATTTGTGTGAGGTAAATTTTTAATTAATTCATAAAGTGATGTACATGTTCAAAATTTCTACAAGCTAAAAACAATGTAAACAGCTAGTAACTTCCTATTCTGAAGAAGGCTCAAAGCAAAGAGTCAAAAGCTCAATAAAAATACTTTTATGAAATCTGGAGAAACTTTTATTTTTCAACAATAATGCCTGGATTACCAATCTTCAAACTTATATCATACATATTATGTACATACATATGAACACACTACTGTCAGAAAAACATAGCTTTGTTGAGTCTAGCAAACATAATAAACGCATTCACCTCTCATTTTTTTATAATCCATTGGATCCATGTGTTCAAAACCAACAGGAGGAATGTCCCATAAAGATTGAATCCTACAAAAAATGATTGTTTAATGTGTTAACATTGTCATAAACATTCTGAGATATTTATTAAATATCAATCTAAAAAACATCTTATATCACTTTATCACTCTAGGAAAACTCCAAGTATGATGGTATATCTCAAGGTGTGAAATAACATGTCACGATTTCCAAAATGCAATACACTTTACACATATTGATTGCAATGACCAAACACACTAAAACATGATACACAAAACTACATAAATTTACCTTTTTTAATAAGTTGGTAAAATTTTACCAACCTGCTACAATTGTCATAGTGGAAAATTTTTTTAAAAATTTTCTAGAGCTGTAAAAAATTTTGTTGCTCTAGCATATATGTGTTTTTGTCATGATAAAATGTATTTATGGCAAAGCAAATAGTCTGTAGTCGTTCACACAAAAATGGTATAATTGAGAAAACCAAACTCGGGCATTTTCGTGCTTTCATAAACATTTGTCAGCAATGTAAGCATTTTGTTAAATGCCTGTTTTTAATAATGTCCCCCTTGCATTATCTACCAAGATAAATAAAAAAGCATGTTTTTGATTTGAGTGGAGAGGAGGAGTTTTAAAACTTTGTAATAAAAAACACACTTTTTTCACCTTGATTTGCAACTTGTAGCTTAAACATTTTTACTTTAATTTAAGCGTTTTGATGAGAAATAGTTTGGAAAAAACCTGACGTTCAATTTCAGATTATAATGGTAAAGAAATAAGTCAAATTTGCAAGATTTGGCAAAAACAGAGAAGAAAATGATAATGACTTACTTCTTGCGTTTTGGTGATGGTGTCCGTGACCTACAAAAATGACATCAAGATAGCATACGTTAATACAAGTACAAAGACCATTTCTGTAATTTCAAACAATCAAGAGAAACTGACGGATGATGTGTTACTTCAGGAGATTAAAAAACATTTTTTTAGATGAGAAAATTTTTCACTCAGACAAATAGCCCAGAAAGTAAATTTAAAAGCATACGTAAAAGTGTTTTCCATAGAGTTCCAATGGTTTTTCATTTATCAAAAACATTGCACACCTTCTATGTTTACTTCTATCTGGAGATCGATTTCTTCGTCCTCTGTCCCTGTCTGGGCTTCTAGATCTTCTGCGTCCACGGTCTCGATCTCGCCTTGGAGACCGTGATCTTCTCCTACGTCTGTCATGGTCACCACGATCTGTTTAAAATAAAATACAAAAGACAAAATGTTGCTAAAAGCAGTGTGGAAAAACTGTAACAAATAGTGTGGAAAAGTTTGCATTAACATGGCAAAACGTCATTTTTGAAGATGTCTGCCATTTATACAGCAATTGTGTAGCAAAGCAAGCATCCCTTGTGTAAGGGAGTACTTAAGTGTAAAAGCATTTAGTCACTGAGCACTTAAATAAAGCACATTGAAAAAATCTTAGTAAACAGGTTGATCTAAAGCGCATTTAAACTGGAAAAACTGTTTGCCGTTACTCATTTTCCTTATTTCTTTCCAGAATGGAAGCAAATTTTCCTGTTTGAAGTGTTTTTAGAGGCGAAAAAAGCGTAAAATGTTGACTTAGAGTAGTTCTTATTTCTTGACAACCACAATTTTCAATTCAATATTATTTCACATTAGTAAGTTCGCACTTCGTAAAAATAGAGTAAAACACAAGACCATCTAAATGAACTCAACATTGGCTTACCATATTCTGATTTTACGTACGAATCCTTACGGAACGAGTCCAACTTTTGAGTTACATCTCTCTCAATGTCGAAATCCGCCATCACGAAGCAAGAATGAAGAAACGCGTGTCGAGAAAGTCGAGAAAGAAACTTGGCGCTCAATTATCCATAAATATACAAAACTTCTCCAAAAGAAACCAAACTATCAAGGAAAATCAATGATACAAATACCCCACAAGATACCTAATATTACTATGCAAGTTGACGTTTGCATAAAAGTAACACATTTAGTACCCTACTGTACCTAATTATGCCTATATATCACATGATATCAGATAATTTTTCTTAGCACTACGTAATGCTTATTTCAAAATATAAACAACATCAGCAAGAATCAGAATGGCCGTAAATCAAACCAAATCGCAGAACGGTCAACTTTTTTTAACAAACGACTTGTACGTAGGAAATTTGTATTCAGAAATGTATTTTTTTGTACATGTTTTTGTCTTTTTTGAACATATTGCGATAAATTTTTAGCGTTATCACCGACAAAGATGGCGTCGAATTCAAGTTTGAGAAGTCGGCAAATTTACCTGGGTACTTGTTGCCTGAGAGAAAAGGACGGCTGATCCTTACAGGGCAAAAGGTTATAATTGAACGTATATGCATTTGTCTAAACAGAATTGTAAACCGACCTGTTTTTTACTGTCTTCTGTTCAGGTTATATTTGTCAACTCCAAGGAAAGTGATCAATGTCAGACAATTACGATGGCATTTCACTACATAAGACATCTTGAGGTGAAAAAGTGTAATGAAACAAGTGTATTGAAAAAATATTTAGTTTCATCATGAGTTGAACATTTCACTTACAATGTATAATTACTGTATACGTTTTCAACAAACATCAATATTGTTTTTCAATTATTTTCACCTTAAATTTCCTAGATCAAGCAACCCCTTTTCGGTGCCAATTATCTTCAGGCAGATTTAACGGCTGAACCTGGAGGTATTCATACCAAATAAAGCTTTTTACATGTTATATTTCCACTGAGTTCACCACTGATCACAACAATTGTCTAATTTTTGAAATTTCACACTTGAAGCTGGCTGGCAAGGTGATGCTGTTTTCAAAATAACCTTTACCAAAGGTGGTGCAATTGAGTTTGCTGAAGCATTTCAACGTGCTGTACGAAATGGTAAAGTTATAATAATATTTATTTATTCTCATACATGGTGCAATCAAATATGCAAAGTTTTGCTTTACAAAGTTGACAAAACATTTTTTCAGCAAGAACAAGAGGCCATCCTGCCATGACACAACCAATGAATGGTCAATACTATATACCACCTCAACAACCTGCACCAGGCAATGGTTATTATGGTGGATATCCCGCTGGTGGTTATGTGGCACCACCACCATACCAACCTCAGGTATCCTTACAAATCCCTTACAAATCCTACAGGTGTCTATCGTATGAAACTTTTATTCAATTCAATTCAATTTAATCAAATCTGGTAAAATCTTCAGTTATGTTACAATAATTAAAAAATAAAAACATTTGCATAAAACTAGTAATACATATATTTACAATATAAAAAAGTATTTACTGGTTTACAAGATTGTTTAATGGCATTTTATAACCACTAAAATTTTAACATGAGATCGCTTCTTATAAAGATATTGAAGAATCAAGTTTCAACTTAAGATCATGACTGGTGATGAAACTTTGACTTAGCACTTCAGTTTCAACATCATATCACTCCTAATGAAGACATTAGACTGGAGTATATAAGAACTAAAGTTTCAACATCAGATCACTCCTGATGAAGACATTAGACTGGAGTATATAAGAACTCTAGTTACAGCATCAGATCACTCCTGATGAAGACAATAGACTGGAGTATATAAGAACTAAAGTTTCAACATCAGATCACTCCTGATGAAGATATTAGACTGGAGTATATAAGAAATCTAGTTACAACATCAGATCACTCCTGATGAAGACATTAGACTGGAGTATATAAAGACTCTAGTTTCAGCATCATTTCATTTCCTGATATACACATTTGACTGGGGTATAGAAAAACTCCAAATTTAACATCTGATCACTCATGACAAAGACACCAGATTGGAGTGTATATGGATTCAATTCTCGCGTCAGATTCAGGTTTAACATTTGAAATGATCAATTTTTATGTTTAGCCATATCCACCACCCTATAATGGTATGCCACAGTCAAGCCAGTTCCAAGCAAGTGCACCTCCACCAACAGGTAGGCTTCATGTGATAAATATACCGAAATAACTCTCATGCTCGACATTGTGCGAAATTGATCCCAAATCCTAACCCTTTATTTAATCATCCAGCACTATAGTAAGATATTGTTTAGAGATTGGATTCGGTATCAATTCTTCGCATTTGTAGAAACCGTAACTTTTTGCATAAATTGGTTACATTTCTCTACTGTTTTCTTCGTATGTTTCATTAAACGCACAAAATCAATCTTCTGCGCATGGCAAACATTCCAGTGTGAATTCAACATCCTGTGTTTTAGGTGGTAAAGCTGCTGAGGCTTATGCTTCAGGACAAAATGTATTTATTCCTGCACCACAAGTAAGTGCTTCGTTTTTCAATTTGAATAACTTTTTTGTTTTAAAGTTTCTAGTTATTTTAATTGTGGTTTTTTGTAGAACAGCGAATTTTCTCCTTCCGCACCGCCTCCTTACGATCATAATGGTAAAAAGGACCAATAATTTACGACAATTTATGCAAAGCAGTTTCAGACTAAGTGTAGCCATCGGTTCCGCAGCATGCTTGTTAAAAATTCAGTATGACAGAACTTTATGTATGTAAAATTCATTGCAATAACGTATTATATATTAATTAGATATGATAAAATTCGACTTATGTTGATTTCTAACAAACTAAAAATTTGTTTCAACCGCGGTAAAATTGGGAAAGGAGAATAGTTTTGCAAGGTTGTTGGTACATATGTAGTCTACATCATCTGTTAGGTTTCGTGGTTTTAATCAACGTAAAAAAAGTACTTATTATTTTCTACGTATATTTTTCGATTTAGGGAAATAGTTTTAGAGAAAAATAAAACATGGGGAAACCAGGAGTTAACATAATTTTATACATATGTCTTTTTTCTTGTCAAAACGCATCAACTTTTGCTTCTGGATATTTTAGGATTTTTGCAGCTCGTGGAATAAAATAGTGCTTCTTACTTAGTTGTAACTTCGTCTGTTATTGGTGCTTCCTACTTAGTTGTAATCTCGTCTGTTATTGGTGCTTCCTACTTAGTTGTAATCTCGTCTGTTATTGGTGCGTCTTACTTAGTTGTATCCTCGTCTGTTATTGGTGCTTCCTACTTAGTTGTAACCTCGTCTGTTATTGGTGCTTCCTACTTAGTTGTGAACTCGTCTGTTATTGGTGCTTCCTACTTCGTGTAACCTCGTCTGTTATTGGTGTTTCCTACTTAGTTGTAATCTGCCACTGCTTTTTACTGGTAAAAGTGGTGTTTGCAAGTTTTACTGAAGAATTTTTGGGAGGGCAGTGAGTAAATGGAATGTAAAGAATCAAGAATTTACATACTCAACTTTTGGCAAATAATAAAATTTTGTCAAATTTTATTATTTGGAGCCATCATTTCTGGGGGGGGGGGATGGGTAAATGATTCCTAAACTTACAATGCAATAACAGACAACTTGAATTCACCACACCATACTTTCTAATTTCTTCCTCCCGTATATTTCGCTTGACTTACGTTGAAAAATAAACAAACTTTTCAATTATCAAACTTTCTTAGAAGGTAGTAAACAACTACAAACTTTATTGGTGATGATTCTTGACAATAGTACTCTGAGTAAAAACTTCCATCACAAGGAAAATAACAGATTATAATAAACGAAATTCGTTACTTTATCAAAACAAGCATTTCCGTAAAATTTAATATCTTTTACAACTCACCCTCCTCCAAGAATGAACCAATAGTAATAAAATTTACATAATTTTGAGATACTTAATTATGTTTCAAATACTTGTTCACATTTCAGTGTATTCCAAACTCAACTCAAGCCCACTTAAAATAAAATATGCAGGATATTATTTTAATTACAAAAATTGCTAACATTAACAAGTGTTCAGCGCACTGCGTGAAACTTTATGCGAAAGTATTCCAAAATAGCTGGCAGAAATCTATTTTAGAATAAATCGACTTTTTTTGGAACATCTTTCCTAAATTAGAGAGCGAGGGAACTCTCTAATTTAGTTAGAATACTACAAATACTTATTAATGTGCACATTTTTATGTTGGTGTGGTTAGATGGGATTTAGCTCTAGGTATTTATACTTCTTGTATAATCAAACTCTTAAATCAATCATCTGCAAACACCGATCCAAGAATTGAAGTCAAAAAAATTTCGTCTTTAAAAAAATGCATACTTTAAATGTTTTCTTAAAAATAATTAGTTGAACTTACCGTAAGAAACGTTAATGGATCAATGACCATGGTACCGTACGCCGTTCTAAATGAGACACAAACAACAAAATATTTAGATTTAAGGAATGATAGAAACACTTACAGCCCTGACTTCCACTTCCTGATCTTTTCGTCCTCCGCATCTGAAAAATACTGAACAACTAGTTAGTGGAATGACAAAACAGGCAAACAAACAAACAAACAAACAAATAAACAGACCAACAAATACATACCGCAATTTTGATCAGCAACTGTTGCCATGTAAGAACAACTGTAAGAATAATTGTTAAAATGCAGTCATGAAAAACTGTTGAAGTTCATGTATTTTGTAACACCAGTGTTTGCAGAAGATCTGTAATTGAAGCGTAGGCTTAACTTCGATTTTAACATGGAATTGCTGTAAGATGTTTCAAATAACTTTATCAGAAAATGTCTATCTTTCAACTGCTATGAATACACCGTTATAACATCCCTCAATGTTATAACAGTGTCCATTATAGATGAAATAGAGTGACTAAATATTTAAGGTCTTCAGATTAATTCCCTGACAAGGTAGTCACTTCAGGTTGAAACAGACCAATTATAATTTTAAGATTTTGCTATACTCTGCCAGCGTATTGCAATTTCTTTTTGTAACTTCGATAACTCAATTGCAAATTGAATTTAATTTTAAAGTTACATGCAGGATTCGAACAATTGAACGTTCACAAGAAGCACCTCCATATTAACACTTCAATAAACATGTTGAATGATTTGTGCTAACTTCTATATAACATTACTCGATGGTGTAGGAGTGCCAGTCATCCTGATCACACATTCCTTTAATCTCCCAACTATCGCTAACATCGATAGCAGGATATATAAAAAGGCTTTTAAAGATAGAAGTATGATTCTCTTGTTGGTGCTCATCAGGAGAACAATTGACATCGAGAGTGAAGAAGGGTGTTATGCATCCAAAGATGATCTTCTCCAATATTATTACAAAATTAAGGTAGTTTCTTCCATTTGCAACATCTTGACGAAGACGTTATAATCTAGAAATATAGAACAATAAAAATATTATCGAATTAACGACTAAATATATCCGTTATTAAAGCATTAACTGTCTGTATTTCCTTCAGTTATTTTTTGCTACTTTAATATGGAATTTTGATCAAATATTTTTGGTAAATTTGCGGCCATTTTTTCTCTTTACCTTCATGGTATTCGATTTTGAATTATTTGATTTAAGACTGGATTTCTGAAATAGAGTTGTATTTGAAAGCAAAGTATGATTTTGATGTTATGCTGTTGCAGCCACTCATGGTAATCACAGTAAAATACCTAATTAAGTTGAAAAATTGAGATAAGTCACATGTCAAATGGTGATAAGATATTCAACAAAGACAATAAGCGAAGCATAAAAAATTAACTTTGAATAATTGACATAATCCCAAGCATAAGCCAGACCTAGCACAAACCGAAAGATAAAACAAAAGAAAATCCTTTTTTGTTTGTCTTTTTAATCTCACGAGAATTCTGAAAGTTTCTTGTTTTTTTTACCAGAGGAAACCAGGCATTGATGAGCTCAATTTTTAACTTCAGACCATTAGGCATTACAGCCTTGATTAGTTAACAAATATCTACTTTTATTAAAACGATTTAAATTCTTCCATTTAGCTACAATGTAAAGCTCACCATGACATCTTCACAATCGCAATTTAGGTATTACCGCCATGAATACGTGCTCTGTGACCGAGATCATCCAAACGATCCATCAGCAATCATTATCCGCGTTCTTTGAGACTGACGCGGAACTCTCGTCTCTTCAATCAAATAAAACAACCATAGAATAATTTCATCAATACCATTCTCTTCAAAATACACCGAGTCTCTATATCTTCCCTAACGTCGCTATTAAGAGCTATCCAAACATTTCATCAACTCATCGAAGATTTTGCCTTATACATGTAGAGATCCTCACTCGACAAAAATCAATCAGAAACAGCCTGCAGACTAGTTGATCAAAAATATTTGGTCCCTATCCACCTACATCATCAAAGTTTGTGATTGGTTCAAATTGAAATGAAAAATATACACTACAAAAATGGCAAATCTAAGGAATGATAAATATTGTTTTATTCACTCAATTTGAAATCACAATAATCACATACGTGGCGTTCAATCATTCCTTTGGGAGTGAGAGGATAGTGGACTGTTCGCCATGCTGAATTATATTTGCATTGTAAATAAGGAAACTGCTTGTACGTGCAAATGAAAAACTGTACGTGCAAATGAACGATCTTTGATTGTTTTGGCTTCATTCAATACAGAAAGCTCAAAGAATATTTTTGATGCTTCTTTTGGCGTCAATCAAACGTTAATTGAGGAAACGAGAGACATATTCTGCTAATGCTAGTCTGGTTTCTTTTGAAAGTGACATTTTCAAAAGAAATTAGCCAAGTATAGAAAAATATTGGAATGTGGTCCCCCTCATTTTACATTCGATTAGCTACTGATGCAGACATGCAGTGCAAGACGGACAGAAAAGTTTTGATGATTGTGCTTATAAGTTGTGTTGGAAATACTTAGAGTTTTTTTGAGATATTAAGTTGATTAAAATTGTGAGTTGATATTTCAGCGTCATCTATAGCTACGTTTGACAAATAAATGAATAAAAGCGACAAGTATTTTTCTTAAGGTTTTATTCTATTCTTTATATAAACATTTTTACATGTAATAAGCTCGTAATATTTATTTCATTGAACTTTTTCTCAGCATATAAGTGTGTCGTAAAAATTATTATAATTCTTCTAATTAATAAACAAAGTTGCTCTTCTATAATATAAAAATTAACATCATGAAATACTTGAGTAAAATCTTATGTCAAAGAATAAATTTTTATAAACTATCATTGAAAATGGCTTCAGTATATATTTCACCTTACACATAAATCTTTAGACTGAGTCTTTATGTCATCACGTAACTAACTTTTCTGCCTAAGCGATTTTTGGGAATTTTGAGAAAACGAGATTTATTAGTCTAACATTTTTTTATCGAGCATCACATATTAAATATTTATTGCGTCCTTTTGATTGGTCAATTGACTTGGGAAATAAATACAGAACACATCAGTGGGAAAAATGGTAATTTTAGGCAATATCCGAAAATTTTAAAAATATGACTTAGGAAAAAAGTTAGTGACGTGACGATGTAAGGAAGAATGAATATAATTAATTTAATTCTCTTTAACTCATTTCTTTCTTCTCGAGGTGTTTTTGCACTCAAACTTTAATAAATAAAAACAAAATGTTGAAAACACATATAAATACTCCTTTTTTTGTCTTTTTTTCGTTTTCAGATGGCAAAATTTATTCTAAGACTGTCAGAAGATCGATAATTGGTTAGCAACATATATATAGTGCGCCAATTAATCCGTTTTGAAATCAATTGTTTCAGGGATTGTGACATGCATATATAAATAAGAGCCCCCTCCCCAATTATCGATTCTGTGTCAGTCAACGATCATCTTAATGAACAAAGTATCATCTTTAACATACTGACGATTTTTTAAACTTTCCAATGGCATAAAGAGTGGTGATCCTGAAGCGATATTCATATCTGACTTTGGTCGTTGAAATGAGGAACTTTGAGGATCTGAATGAAAAGCATCAATCATGTGATCACCATTTCCTTGATCCATTAACATCATGGTGATCTTTTTTTGAAATGGCCATGTTTGTAGAGCATCGTAGTCACCTAGGAAGTAGAAAAAAATTATAATATACTTAATTAATTAATAAAATATACCGCAGACTAAATTATATAAAGAAGCAAAGTTTCAAACGAAACTAGAACACAAACGTCAGTCAACTTGGAGTTACATAATATACAAAGTGCTAAAAATGATTTTACCTTTCATGACAACAAAGAACAAAGATAAATGAGTTTCCTTTCCAAAGCCATCACCATTCATATAGATCTTAGCACACATCTTGTAACCATATTGAGAACTGTAGAATGGTGCACTGTACAAGGCTGTTTTGATACCATTAATGGCGTCCTGTCTCTTCTTGCTGAAGTTATCTATTTTCCAAAGTAACGTACCATTGTAACTGTGTATGGCCTGATTAGATCCCAGTGCACGAGCGCCACGTCGCGCTTCGAGATCCGTAATCTTCACCGTGTTTCGAGCAAGTGATTCATTAATTTGATCTAAACGCTCACGAAATCGTAGTATAGTTGAAGAATTTTCTCTCAATTGTCGTTCGAGAGTCGAAATCCTATCACGCATCGAGGAAACCTCTAATGACGAGTTGGCATTATTACTATCGTTATCACCACGAGCCTCGAGACTCTCAATCCTTCTTTCAAGACCTGTAAGTTTACCCACTAACATAACAAATTTTTCTGAGAGATTTGCACGAACAGCAGTAACTTGGTCAGCCATGTTTTGAACAGCAGTGGTAAACTCTGGACGTGGTACATAGTTACTTAACTGTGTAACAAATGCCATAACATATCGTAACAAGGCGCTCACGTGATCAATTAGATGGTCATTCATATGTTGACGGATCTCCCTTCGTTTTAAAGTCTACAAAAGGAAAGACAGAAATCATATGGAAAATTGTTCGTTCTTTATATAAATATATTTGCTATAGAAGGTTGTTTCATACTAGTTATTGTTATTTTAATAGTTGGCCATGTTCCCGCATCAACGACAGCAACGAAAGGAAAGATATTTATAATATTTTATTAGATATATAGAAATAAATGAGGGAGAGAAACGGACTCTTAAAATGAAAACAAAACAGCACATGAAAAAATATTTTCCATACTCCAGAGCAGATGTCAGTGTTTCAAATGATAATTATACTTGTTTCCATAGTCTATGATGTCCTTATCAATCGATACCCACACATGTTTCAAACAAAAAAATTTAATTTTCAAATATTTCAAATGTCGTCAATAGTCAAAGATTTTTGTATCAAGGTTGTATCGTTGACTTGTTGCAGACATGAAATTATAAATCAATCTAAACATTCCTACTTTATCATGGTTGCATCCAATGGCTTGAAATTCACATTTAGTTGGGACTTCATCACAAGTCGTATTTTCATGATTTTCAACATCTTTCCTTGGTATCTTTTTCTTACAGTATTGGCAAGACACAGGATAGTATTCACATAGTTTTTCCATGTGGTCCTAAATGTTTGAAGAAAATAAAAGCAAACTATAATTTAGTGAAAATCCCAAATAAGTTCTGGAAAGATTGGATCAATTTTTGTTACAGAAAACATTAATTCTACAAGTGTAACGACTGTAACAAGATGTAGACCTAAAACTTGATTTGGCGTTCTCTGGTTGTTAATAGTTGACAAGATTTCGACTGCCTGACTGTAGTCTTCAACAGTTTTCATCAATACTCGAAAACAATCATGTTTATGCCGTGTAAGTTCATAATTTGTAATTCAGGTGTGAAATATAGTGTAAATATTATTTTTTCTGTGTTTATCACTATGTCAGTACTTCAGCTAATATTCTGCCTACCTTAAGTAAAGCATACGGTACATCTTTACCACAATATTCACATTTCACATTTCGATATTCACAATCATTCTTCAAATGTTCACCAAGAAGAGAGCGAGGTAACTGAATGTTACACTGCTTGTGAACACAGCTGATGAGCGCATGCTCACAAACTTGATAATGACGCTGTCAAAGAAAGCTTTCGTAAGAGATAGGCATCCACTTTTAAATGCATTTCTCAGGTCAACTCACTTCTAATTCTTCGTAGGAGCCAAACCATTCACATTGTTCAGAAGGACAATGTAAACGAATACTTTTCAACTCGCGTTTCGTGAAAGCATCTGGGAAAACCTGTAAATGAAAACCTGTAAATTTCTAACAAAATTTAAATGAAGGATGGGTTGCTAACCATGCATTGACATATTCAGCTTGATTATTTAGTCCTTATATGTTAATTTTTCTGACCATGGCAAGATTTCAAAGAAATGCCTAATGATGTTCTAAAATTTACATAGCATGACAAAACTTGTTTGCTGGTTACGCAACTTTAGACTGTTTAGTAAAAATAAATAGAAGCTAGGTGAAGCAGATTTTAAGGAAGGATTTACTACATAATTGCATCAAGCCGAGTGAAGTTTTTGTTCAGGAGTTTCAAAAGAAACGATTGATGCAGCTAAAGTAAAACTTTTTGTCTAAAATATTGGCTATTTATACTAACATTGTTCTTGTTCAACTTTTCTTGGTCTTCAGGACATTTTGCATCTGGACTTCTACAAATCAAAAAAATTATAAAACTACTGACATCATGTTAGGATATCTAAATCACCATGTTCATTAACATAACAACAATAATAAACATAAATTTAAACATGAAAATGTCTACTTTTAAATTGTGATTAAATATAAATATTCAAAGAAACCAAAACAAACATGCTAGCATCATAATGCAGCACAATAAAATATTGGATAACATGATGGGATGAAAAATACCCTCTATGACAAAGAGAAGCCAGTGGTGTAAACAGTGGCTTGCTGGGAGCAACTTCTCCGTGAAGGCTAGTCGGTTAACACTGAAATCCCCCCATAAAAATATAAAGCACTTTAAAAACGAGGGCCAAAAGCCTGAGCCGAACACCGAAGGTGCAAGTCGTGTTTTAGTTTTTGCCATTCCGGACTAATTGAATGTTCTTAATTTAGACCATTTACGCTGTTAAAAACTATACGATATCATCTACTGTTCAAATGCACAATGCTCAGAACTAATGAAGTTGTGATTTTTCTCAGTGTAAACCATAAATATAAATTCCTTATTGTTGATACTATGAGTTACAAACTGAGAAATGCAAAGGCAAAGGAGCGTAAGGAACGCAAATGTCATCACGAGACTGAACTTAGTGAGAGGAATAGATGTCCGACTTAAAATCCAACAACTTTATCTTAGCCTACAATCCCCTTAATTAAAACAAATTCCGTAGAGGGACATCTCGTTTTCTTGATATTCAAGATATTACAAGAGTTTGAAACAAAATAAAGACGAAATATTACACATTATTTTGTTTCAAACTCTTGTAATATCTTGAATATCAAGAAAACGAGATGTCCCTCTTCGGAATTTGTTTTATTTTGTACTATTTGAAATTGTCTGCTTGTCTTGGTTATCCCCGTAATTAGTAATTCGATAATGGTGAGATTGCAGCCAAACAGAGCACTGGGGTAAGGTAAGAGACAACTATAGTGGTAAGAAAGATGAAAAAGACAAAAATATACAACAGAGATAGTACAAAGACTTGCAGGTAAATTGCTTTATTCATTATTTCATTGCAACCACGAGGTTGCATTACGACATTATTATACATTAAAATAGTGGCATGTGCGTATTAAAGAATAAGCTAGTCTAAATTAAATTAGTCAATTAACTAGAATATAACAATAATTTAAACATTAAGAGTAATAATTCACGTTCGTTTAAAGGCTCTAAATTTACAGTGGTATCTAAGATTACGAGTTCTAGGGCTGCAAACTGTGAGTGAGCAGAAGATAAATCTGTGTTTCTTTATCATCTACTTCTTTCTCATTATCCAGAGTGAACTGTCTTCTTGTCTCGATGTAAAAGAATTAATTTTTCTTCGGTAGATTTCAGATTTTCTATATTTTCTCAAAATAAAATGGATTGTTGAGATCAGACAAGAACCTTTGGTTTTGGTAAATGTTTTACTTTTTACTGCTCACATGAAAATATATAGTTGCAACCCTTTCAAATATTGTCATATTTTATGTATAATATTACCTTACATCAGTTGGCAAACATGTTACGACCTAAACCATCATTGTTCGTAATGACCGTTTTATGCCATTTTTTTTTTTGCTTTTACGTATACCAATTATGTTTACTTTACAATATGCTCATTAATTGTTCTTCCTAAGCCCTAAGCACATGCCAGAAAAATTTTGAAATTTTCTTTTTAAAGTGCTAAATTGAATAAACGGTGTTTTAAATTGCAGAGCGTGAAAGAAAACTTAGATGCATATTTTAGATTATGAAATTTTATTACTTTTGTTGAATGGATTTTTATTACTTTTGAATGAAATTTTATTACTTTTGTTGAATGGATTTTTTAGTCAATTTAACCATTGTGTAAAACTGTATTAGGATGTTTTATCACAAAACAAAAATCTTTATTGCAAGCCACGTAACTCTTTGCCGCGAGGAAAATACAATATAGCAATGGAATAGACATTGTAATAATAAGTGATACGGCATTAATACAATATTGTACTACGAGCTTAAAATGATAGCATCCCATCCCATCGAGAGTTACAACAAATCATAACTGACAGTTTTTAAAAGAAAATCACTTTACCTAAGCAAGATGTCCATGCAAGACTGACAAAACAAGTGCCCACACATCGTCTGCACTGGATTAAGAAGGAGATAATGACAGGAAGTACATAAGAACTTGGAGTGGATTTTCTCCTGATCTTCTTTGCGGATCTTTATTCCAGGCATTTTGAATTACTTCAAATTTATTCACACTGTAGCAAGAAAAAACACAACAAAAAATGAGATTTTTTGTGATTGCGGAATGTTTAGATTTATTTCCTCCAAATGAAAACAAATTTGATCCATCGTATTCCTTCATCATATAAGACAAAGTTCATATGCTTTTATATATATTTCCAGTAAGCATTTGTTCTTGCTTTAAAGATACTTTAATCAATTAATTTAATTGAAGAAAATATAACAATCCTTCACCGTTGTTTTGACGCTTTATAAAGCAAGAACTTGAAAACTTCGCTGATATTCCTGTAAATTTTAACTGGTCTGAAATTCATGAGGAACTGTTTCGGCATGATCTTTGTTCTTTGGCAGAAATTTATCTTTTTAGGTTTCAGATTTAAAATTGCCTGCAAAACAATGACTACATGAAGTTTGCTAATTGTATTAGAACATGCCCATGCATTGCTCCTCATAAGGACATGCCCGTATGAAAGGCCAAAAAAGGCCTGAATAGTTTTCTCAGGCTATTATCTTTGCCCAAACGGATTTCACTGCTGGTCAAAATCAAAGTTCTTGGTCTCGAAAGGTCAAACTGACAACCATATAATATAATTAGATAAGTGTTTTAGATCAACCTCTATAGGAGATCAAACAACATAAACACTGTTGAAAAACATATTATTAAAAACATGCTCAAATTTGGATTCAGTGTATGGATTATTAAGGTCTTTAAACGAAGCATGACGGAAAAAGTACTAAATCCTCCACCCTTCCCCTCCCCTCCCCATCCCTTCCTATCTCCAAACCCTCCCACAATAATTTGACGCAATTTTGAATTTGTTGAATCTGTGTCTCCACATCTCTACTTGCACAAACTTCCAACTTTAAGAACTAGAAGTCACATAAATAAAAATATTTATCACGAATACTAAAGATTCGTACAATGCAATAGTTGCACGCAAACGAAACAAAATTTGTTGTCGGTAGCCGTGAGCAGTCTAACTTCGTACTATGAACTATATGGTCAGTTAACATGGTTCAAAAATTTGGTCCGTAGTTTCAATGGGAGAAGCTTACATTTTATACTTTTGTAATATTAACTTTGTTAAGATAGATTCAGTAAATTAACAATTTCCAGGCAGAGCGGCTACCTATAGGATCCGAACATCTGACATGAATGCTTTGAAATTATATTTAATCACACATAGGAGGCGGGAGATTTTCTCCTGTTCAAAAATGAAAACCAGACTTCTTGACTTCAAATTACACTTCATAAAATCTGTCTCCCGTGTCTTAATCCGACTAATGTTCAATTGGCCCGACTTTTTAAAATTAAAAAGGAATCGAGAACAAATGGTTTGTTTTCATCTGACATGGAGCTGCCATTGCAATTCCATCGCAAGGAGATTCAACTTATGAGCAAATCCTGATTTACTACGAATATTTAGTAAGATTTATCTTTCTACACAATGCAAATAACAAAACCACAAATTTATCACCTAAACATTTGTTGTTGTATTTTGCTTCAAAGGTAGCAAACGACAATAACAGCAGACTATTGAGTAAGACTTGGCCGAGCTTAAAGTACAAAGTTAACAAACTAAAATAACATAACGACACAAGATTTGTAGCCCCCTCATGAAACAAATTTTATTTGGAAAAATAACACCACCGTTTACATAACATTTAAGAATACACATCTATACTGCCAATATTTTTCACTTACCACTTTTTTAGTTCAAAATTTCAAATTATTTCAGACGTCGTATCTTGAAATACAACACGTTAAAACACAACTACAATAATGATGCAATGTGAAGACGTTCAAAATGTTTATCACTTAGCACAACTACGTAACTGGCTGGGGATTCCCCAAACGAAAAATCTAGACTTCACATCAACGCGCCATTGGTCCTTTGCACAGGAAATGCTTCATATATTTGATTTGAATTATTACACGGCACATTGACTTGAATTTTAAATACACTTAACAACTCATTTACCTTAACTTCGTTTGATTATAAGTATTCCACTTCTTTTTATTTTGATGTATTAATAGGAATATGCATTGGGGTAGAAAATACGGCGTAAAATTATCCATAAAATAAGAACAAAAACAACAATATTATTTTGGGCACGTAATTATGACAATGATAATTAACATAAACCTTAGTAATATTTGACCTTTATTATATATTTGTTTAGTCATCTAAACAAATGTGACTTCTGCTTCTGCAAATCTCAATATCTGTATTAAAGTAAATACTTTAAGTCTGGAAATATCGATATTTTTTTTACTTTACATGACACTAGAAGTATATCATATAGATTAGTGCTTTTAATGGCGTCCTGACTTCTGGAAAGATGATGTTGTTGATTGCATTGACGTTGAGAAATAATCATCTTCCGTCAATGTCAAGTTCTTTCTCACACCCACACATTTAGCATACAAATAAACAAACAAACACATACCGCAGATTTAATCTACAACTCTTGGCATGTAAGAACAACTGTAAGAATAATCTTTTAAAATACAATCATGACAAACTGTTGAAATTCATGTATTTTGTAACACCAGTGTTTGCAGAAGATCTGTAATTGCAGAGAAGATTTAACTTCGATGTTAACATGAAATTGTTGCCAGATATTTTAAATAACTTTATCAGAAAATATCTGCCTTTACGATGTTCAACTGCCATGAAGACACTGTTATATAACATCCCTCAATGTTGTAAAAGTGTCAGTTAAAGATAGAAACAATAAAGGGATTAAATATTAAAGGTGGTCGAGAGCTTATTTGACTGACACGGTAATCACTTCAAGTTCAAATACACCAATTACATTTTTAAGATTTTGCAATACTCTGCAAGCGTATTGCAATTTGTTTTTGTAACTTTGATAACTAAATTGTAAATTGAATTTCATTTTAACGTTACACGATCCAAACAATTAAACGCTCACAAGAGGCGCCTCCATATTAACATGTCAACTACAATGTTAACTGATTTGTGCAACCTTCTATAACATTACTGTAATGTGTAATAGTGCCAGTCAGTCAACATGCTGGCAACACATCCCTTTAATGCCAAATCTCCCAACTATCGCTGACATCGACAGCAAGATATACAAATAGGCTTTTAGATACAGAAGTTTGATTCGCTGCATGGTGGTCAGTCAGGGACAATTGACTTGAAAAGGAGGAAGGGTGTTTTGTAGCCACAGATAATCTTTTCCAAGATTAATCCAAAGATAATTTCTTCCATTTGCAACATTATGACGAAGACTTTATAAGCTATAAATATAGAATAATGTAAATATCATCGTATTTACCACTAAATTTGTCTGTTATTAAAGCATTAAAATTTTAATATGGCATTTAAATTGAAAAATACAAAAAGCGATACCACTTGAAGATATATAGAAAAAATGGCCGCAAATTGAGTGATATCATGCGCAACATCTCTTAAGAGCAGATAAACAAAATAAAACTTTAATTTGACGTTTAAGATAAGTATACTAAAATGTTTCAATCAAAGACTGGATTTATGAAACAGGGTTGTGTTTGAAAGTATTCAAAGTATGATTTTGATTTAATGATTTTGCAACCGCTCATGGTTATCACAGTAAAATACCTAATTAAGTTCAAAAATTGAAGTAAGGCACCAGTAAAGTGATGATTAAATATTGCCTAAAGACATTTAACGAAGCCATGGAAAATTACTTTGAAAAATATACATAATCACAAGCATACGCAAGACCGAGCACAAACAGAAAGATAAACAGTTTTGTGCGTCAAATACACTCTTGGTTAAGCCTGGCTTAAATTCACTGTAAATGACACTAAAAGTAACAAATTGCTACCCACAAATATGCAGTTCGTATTTGATTTCAAAGTAGATAACTAGCTTTGTGAAATTTTCTCTTCTCTCAAAACTGACTAGTCATTTTAGTTGATAACAACCATGTTACTGCCTTACTTGGATGCATTCACATGCATGAACTCAACAAACGCATGTCATCACGTCTTCTTTTTAAAATGCCGTTTTGGTCGTCTTTTTCATAGGCGTACGAGAGCTATTGTATCTGGGGGCAGCTAATATTTTCCCAACTTACAATGAAGTTGCCCGACTAGCATTTAAAATTTGCCCAACCTTACTATCTTCAATCATTCTAGGAATGGGGGCAGCTGATTGCAGAATGGATTCTAAACCATAACCCTAGCTCCAACCTGCACTAAGAAAACATGGAAGAATCCCAACAGTCCCTATAAAATGTATGTTTTACTTATATTGTATTGCACTTGAAAATAGTAAACGAAGTTGTTTGGGTTTCGTTAGACTAATGGTCAGATGTCAAACTGAGAGAGTCTCAGTATTATGTACATCTTATTTACGGGCTGGTTCGGTCTCGTTCGCCCCACTTAACAAGACATGCCTACATATATAGTTCTCTGTCATGATTTCGAAACTAATTTTTTTTGGATATACCTCTGTTCACCCCATACACTCACTTTACGCGTATATATGAATTCACATTCAACGACACTGAACGAGTTTACGTGTTTAATGTTTTCATCAAGGATCGGAAATCACCGCGATATAGCATATGCGAACAAAGCAAACTCAAAACAAAAACACGTGATCAAAAATGTCACTAAACTACATATAACCAACTTACCCGGTTCTGTTGATGTTTAAAATTTAATCTTGAGACGAAAAACTTAAAACTTTTTAGTACACCTCATAAAATGCGTTTGACTACGTGCGTTTGACTACACAGTCGGGCTTTCCCCCAACACAGATGGGGGTTTTCTCAACACAGAGGTGTATCCCCTTGCATAACAAAGGCAATGTAGCGTCAAAACCAAAGATTTTATAAAGTTTAATTCTAAAGTTCCAGAAACAGCGTAATATTAAATTCATTCTTAAAAACATTCTTAAAAGTTGTCAGTACTTGGGTCATCATATATTTTTCAAATAAACTGCATCCTGCATGACAAACATCAGTAATATCTTTCAGCCTCCTTATCACAACGTAAGGTATAAAGATACATTTTTAAACTGGTGAAAAAACAAAAATTCCTCTTACATAGTCCTGGATGAACCACATAAGCCATAAACAAGAGTAACAATAGATATGATTCAGGTATAGAACACTTAGTTAGCACTTTTTCATGGAGCTCTTACCCGTGTCACTTCGTTTCCAGTCCGTGAAAGTAAACCGGGTGCGCGCTTGTCAACCGGAAACAGGGAAAAGTTTAGTGTTAAAATGGTGAATAGGAAAAGACAGATGTAAATGCGATAAATGGCGGGTGTCAAACAAAAAGATTTTTTCTCAAAAATAACTTAGAAGGAAACACGTCGACCTTGAAAGACCTTGCAGCTCAAGCGGTTTTCTTAAACCTTTTTTAGACTTTGAGATATAAAGGAGTTAAGACATCTTTAGAGATTATAACAGAAAAATATGCAATTGCCTCTTTTCTTTGATTGTATTGTACAAATACATAGAGTTATATGTAATAATAAATTTAGTATAATTTTATTGGTTATTGGTTCCTTTAACTGTGAAGATATTTGGAACAAAACTAATATAGGAAGTGTATACTAAGTGTATAGGAAGTAACTTAAATTTTCCTTTGAATAAATGGAAGAATACTTAATGTACGTGGTATTATGCATGTCAGAATTTTGATCTCTTGTATAACTAGTTTGTAACAATGAGACCTCTATCAAGCGGACTCTATTGAGCGGACATCAATCTGTTCCACCAGGTGCCCACTTAATACAGGTTTAGCTGTAACAAGCTTCAAATTTTCGACCTGTTTAGTCAACGATGAGCTTGATAAACAGAGTGTCATCTTTAATATACTGACGATTATTTAAACTTTCCAATGGCATGAAGAGAGGTGATCTATAAGCGATATTCATATCTGACTTTGGTCGCTGAAATGAGGAACTTTGAGGATCTGAATGAAAAGCATTAATCATGTGATCACCATTTCCTTGATCCATTAACATCATTGTGATCTTTTTTTGAAATGGCCATGTTTGTAGTGCATCGTAATCACCTAGCAAAAATAATTTAAACATATTATGTCTTCAATTAAATTTTCTTTGTGGAATCTTCAAAAATTATTCATGATTCCACTTGAATTCTCTCTATAAAACCATCAAAACAAATAGACTAATGAGGAAAATTTTTTAAATAATATAACTCTTAAAAATACCATTTATTTCATATAAACGTTTAATTGCTATTCTAAAGGAAAAAAATTGACGGTTGTAGTTACCTTTCATGACGACAAAGAACAAGGATAAATGAGTTTCCTTTCCACGACCAAAACCATCACCATTCATGTAGATCTTAGCACACATCTTGTAACCATTTTGAGAACTGTAGAATGGTGGACTGTACAAGGCTGTTTTGATACCATAAGTGGCCTCCTGTGTCTTTCTATTGAAATTGTCTATTTTCCAAAGTAATGTACCATTGTAGCTGTGTATGGCCTGATTAGATGCCAGTGCACGCGAGCCCCGTTGCGCTTCGAGATCTGCAACTCTCATCGTGTTTCTCGCGAGTGATTCGTCATTTTGATCTAAGCGCTCACGAAATCGTAGTACAGTTGAGGAATTATCTCGTATTTGCCGTTCGAGAGTCGAGATTCTGTCACGCATCAAGGAAATCTCTGAGGACATCTGAGGGTTACTATCGTTACCACCACGACTCTCGATGATGGCCTGATTTGACCCCAGTGCACGTGCACCACTCTGCGCCTCTAGATCTGCAATTCTCATCGTGTTTCGCGCAAGTGATGTTTCGGTTCGATGTAATCGCTCGCAAAACCGTTGTATAGAGAAAGAATGATCTCTCAATTCTGGCCCGACAGTTACACTATTGTAGCTGTGTATGGTTTGATTTGACCCTTGTGTACGCACACGTTGCGCTTCGAGATCAGCAATTCTCACCGTGTTTCTCACAGAAGGTCCGCATTGGACCGACAAGAAGGAGGTGAAAGTAAGTACAAATATACTTTGCTGGAATTTTTTGCCGATCTTCATCACGGATCTTGATTCCTGGCAAATTGAAATACTTTAAATCTTTTTTCCAGTTTCAGTAAAACTAGCTAAAGTAACATTATTATTTAAGTATAAAAACACAAATTCGACAACAATTATAGATCTTTTCTGTATAGACCGTGTTTGAGCTTTAGATATCGATCGTAGTTTCGGAGCCACTAATTATTTTTGAATAAATGGCATGTTTACAACAATTTGACAAAAAATTAGATTTAAAAACTTCGAGTACGTCTGTGTATCGAATATAAGTTCAAAGATATTGAAGTTTTGAACTAATTTTGCTTCTGCCTCACTGGTATACTATAAATGTTAATTTTGTAAATAACATTCATGTTTCAAGAAGACGCAAATTTTACAAAACCAATCATTTATCACATAAACATTTGTTACTATTACGACGAAAACAGCACATCATGGAGCAAAATTTTGGCGAACTCACAGTACAACAAACTAAAACAACTTAACGACTCACGATTTTCAGCCCCAAATAACAAATTATAAGTTTTGTTTGCCAAAACGACACCAACATTTATAGCGCATTTAAAAGAATATATCTAAATTGACAACATTTTTCACTTACCACTTATATAAGTCGAAAATTTCGAAATAAATTCAAGCGACGTATCTTGAAATCTATTACTGGCGGTAACATTGAACTATAATCATCAAGCAGCGAAAACAGTATATTTAATGCATTCAGAAAGCGCGAGCGTTTGTAAACAATCGGGATTCCCCCAAGTCATTGAGGGGGGAAAACAAGAATGTGAACGATTTATATTATGCACGTAATTCTGGGTAGTGATAATTATGACGTGTTGTTAAAAATTTGACCTTTATGTTTTGTTAATTAAAGTAGTTGCTACATTCATAAATTTGTTGCTTGCGCAAATTTCAATACTTGTTTTAAAATAAAATGTTTGAACATGACAGTATCTTTACATGTTTGTAGACGTATATCATTTAAAAATTTCGAAATAAATTCAAGCGACGTATCTTGAAATCTATTACTGGTAACATTAAACATTAACATTAAACTATAGTCATCAAGCAGCGTAAACAGAATATTTAATGCCTTCAGAAAACGCGGGCGTTTGTAAACAATCAGGATTCCCCCCAGTGAATGCATCATTGAGAGGGAAAACAAGAATGTGAACGATTTATATTATGCACGTAATTCTGGGTAGTGATAATTATGCTTTGTTGTTAACAATTTGACTTTTATGTTTTGTTAAATAAAGTAGTTGCTTACATTCTTATTGTCGATTTCAGTTAACTTTTCAAATGGCGGTTGCCAAGTTACTTTCTATGTTGCCAACTACATTTCCAAATATGTAATATTCGATATGAACTTGTCAACTTGAGTTGACAAGTTTTGTACTTGAGTACTGAAGTTGTGAACTAAAGTTGCGAAGTACAAGCAAACGCGAAAGGTCTTTGTACCCTGTAGAAATTTGGCAATGATTCCGTTCAGTTAGCAAGGAAAAGCTTTAGCAATTCTAATCCGAGTGTTATAAAGCGATACGCCGTTTACATTATGTAAAAAATTTACTGTAAATGTGGCACTAGAAGAGTATGGTTGGATTTTAAATGCAGGAGTACCCTGCATACTGTGCCTTCGACGTCTGTTGCCACTCGTAACAACTACAGGCGACTCATCAAAGAAATGCATACGGTTGCAATCAATCATTGAAATATTTGCTACGTAAGCTTCTAACTTCTCCATAACGTCCGGCCTTTCTGTCTCTTGGAATTTGACTTATTATCTTGTTAGAGTAACCAAGATCTTTTTTCGAAATTCTACTAATGGACGACCTGCTAGGTATGTTTGCTACCTATAGGATCCCAACATCTGACATGAATGCAAGGAAATTAGATTTAATCACATAGGGGCTGGGAGATATTCTTCTGTTCAAAAATGAAAACCAGACTTCTTGACTTCAAATTACACGTCATAATATCTTTCTTCCGTGTCTTAATCTGACTAATGTTCAATTTGCCCGAATTTTTAAAATCAAAAAGGAATCGAGAACAAATGGTTTGTTTTCATCTGACGTAGCGCTGTCATTGCAATTCCATCGCAAGGAGATTCAACTTACAAGCGAATCCTTATTTACTACGAATATTTAGTAAGATTCAGCTTTCTACACAATGCAAATAACAAAACCACTCATTTATCACCTAAACATTTGTTGTTATATTTTGCTTCAAAGATAGCAAACGACAATAACAGCACACTATTGAGTAATACTTGGCCGAGCTTGAAGTACAAAGTCAACGTACTAAAATAACGTAACGACACAAGATTTGTAGCCCCCTCATGAAACAAATTTTATTTGGAAAAGTAACAATACCGTTTACAGAACATTTAAGAATACACATCTATACTGCCAATATTTTTCACTTACCCCTTTTTTAGTTCAAAATTTCAAATTATTTCAGACGTCGTATCTTGAAATACAACACGGTAACACACTACTAAAATAATGATGCAATGTAAAGACGTTCAAAATGTTTATCACTTAACACAACTACGTAAACTGGCTGGGGATTCCTCAAACGAAAGCTCTATATTTTTGCATCAACGTACGTGCCATTGTTCCATTGCACAGGAAATGCTTCATATACTTAATTTGAATTATTACACGGCACTTTGACTTGAATTGTAAATACACTTAATAACACATTTACCTTAACTTCGTTTGATTATAAGTATTCCACTTCTTTTTATTTTGATGTATTAAATTGGAATATGCATTGGGGTAGAAAATACGGCGTAAAATTATCCATAAAATAAGAAAAAAACAACAACATTATTTTGGGCACGTATTCTGACAATGGTAATTAACATAAAACTTTGTAATATTTGACCTTTATTATATATTTGTTTAGTCGTCTAAGCAAATGTGACTTTTGGTTCTGCAAATCTCAATATCTGTATTAAAGTAAGTCTGGAAATATCGATATTTTATTTACTTTACATGACACTAGAAGTATATCATCTAGATTAGTGCTTTTAATAGCGTCCTGACTTCTGGAAAGATGATGTTGTTGATTGCATTGGCGTTCAGAAATAATCATCTTCCGTCAATGTCAAGTTCTTTCTCACACCCACACATTTAGCATACAAATGAACGAACAAATACATACCGCAGCTTTAATCTACAGCTGTTGCCATGTAAGAACAACTGTAAGAATAATATTTTAAAATACAATGAAGACAAACTGTTGAAATTCATGTATTTTGTAACACCAGTGTTTGCAGAAGATCTGTAATTGCAGAGAAGGTTTAACTTCGATGTTAACATGAAATTGTTGCCAGATATTTCACATAACTTTATCAGAAAATGCCTGCCTTCACTATGTTTCAACTGCCATGAAGACACTGTTATATAACATCCCTCGATGTTGTAACAGTGTCAATTATAGATAGATACAATAAAGGGATTAAATATTAAAGGTGATCGAGAGCTTATTTGACTGACACGGTAATCACTTCAAGTTTAAATACACCAATTACAATTTTAAGATTTTGCAATATTCTGCAAGCGTATTGCAATTTGTTTTTGTAACTTTGATAACTCAATTGTAAATTGAATTTCATTTTAACGTTACACGATCTAAACAAATAAACGCTCACAAGAGGCGCCTCCATATTAACATGTTAACTACAATGTTAACTGATTTGTGCAACCTTCTATAACATTACTGTAATGTGTAATAGTGCCAGTCAGTTAACATGCTGGCAACACATCCCTTTAATGCCAAATCTCCCAACTATCGCTGACATCGACAGCAAGATATACAAATAGGCTTTTAGATACAGAAGTTTGATTCGCTGCATGGTGGTCAGTCAGGGACAATTGACTTGGAAAGGAGGAAGTGTGTTTTGTAGCCACAGATAATCTTTTCCAAGATTAATCCAAAGATAATTTCTTTCATTTGCAACATTATGACGAAGACTTTATAAGCTATAAATATAGAATAATGTAAATATCATCGTATTTACCACTAAATTTGTCTGTTGTTAAAGCATTAGTATTTTAATATGGCATTTAAATTGAATAATATAAGAACGATACCACTTGAAGATATATAGAAAAGATGGCCGCGAATTGAGTGATATCATGCACAACAACTCTTAAGAGCAGATAAACAAAATGAAACTTTAATTTGACGTTTAAGATAAGTATACTAAAATGTTTCAATGAAAGACTGGATTTATGAAACAGGGTTGTGTTTGAAAGTATTCAAAGTATGATTTTGATTTAATGATTTTGCAACCGCTCATGGTTATCACAGAAAAATACCTAATTAAGTTCAAAAATTAAAGTAAGGCACCAGTAAAGTGATGATTAAATATTGCCTAAGGACATTTAGCGAAGCCATGAAAAATTACTTTGACAAATATACATAATCACAAGCATACGCAAGACCGAGCACAAACAGAAAGATAAACAGTTTTGTGCGTCAAATATACTCTTGGTTAAGCCTGGCTTAAATTCCCTCTAAATGAGACTAAAAGTAACAAATTGCTACCCACAAGTATGCAGTTCGTATTTGATTTCAAAGTAGATAACAAGCTTTGTGAAATTTTCTCTTCTCTCAAAACTGACTAGTCATTTTAGTTGATAATAACCATGTTACTGCCTTACTGGGATGCATTCACATGCATGAACTCAACAAACGCATGTCATCATGTCTTCTTTTAAAAATGCCGTTTTTATCGTCTTTTCATAGGCGTAAGACAGCTATCGTATCTGGGGGCAGCTAATATTTTCCCCAAATTACAATGAAGGTTACGCCATATTTTTGCCCTACTAGCATTTAAAATTTGCCCAACTTTACAATCTTCAATCTTTCTAGGGATGAGGGCAGCTGATATGCGGAATGGATTCTAAACCATAACCCTAGCTCCAACCTGCACTAAGGCAAAATGGAAGAGTCCTAACGGTCCCTATAAAATGTAAATTTTATTTATATCGTAATGCACTTGGAAATAGTAAACGAAGTTGTTTGGGTTTCGTTAAACTAATGGTCAGAAGTTAAACTGGGGAGAGTTTCAGTATTATGTACATCTTATTTACGGGCTGGTTCGGCCTCGTTCGCCCCACTTAACAAGACATGCTTACATATATGATTCTCGGACATGATTTTGAAACTAATTTTTTTTAAATACTCAGCACCAAGTAACACTGGTCGTGGCGCAGAACTTTGCCGTTGTCATAAGACAGCAGCTAATGTTTGGCGAATGCAAAATTCAACAAAAAACATAAGTTCTATCATAACAGAAATTGGTTAGTTAACAACTCTGTTCTGTAACAGCAGCCAAGAAAACCGATCAATTAATTTAAAAATGTTTCAAATAGAAGTAATACGTGTTTAAGAAGAATAGTTAAATAAATATTTTATCAAGCATACTTTTATTCTTGATTCCACAGTTGAATAACCAAAATTTTGTCAAGACTCTCTAATATAAATGACCACTATACTTAGGACTCTCTAACAAATAATACCACCACCAAACTTGAATTTTTAATTTTTAACCAGGCCCCCGTTCACACCTCCCCTCCTCCAATACATCCATGCTTGGTTCCTTGTAGAATGAGCATGAAAAGCTCGTCATTAAAGTGCTTTGTAAGACAATCTTAATCATGCTTTTGAGCCCTTTAAGTTAACCTTTTACGACACCATGAATTGTGTCATTTGTCTCATCAAATTCACATTCAGTGAACGGAGAAATGTTTGCTTAATAGGAAAAGACTGGATACGTCACCGTTCATGCATCATAACTTATGTCATTTCTCCAGTCAAATTCGCATTCAGTGAACCGAGAACTATTTGAATGGTAGGAAAAGACTGGCTACGTCACCGTTCATGCACCACATGCAGTACTCATTGATAATGAACTGAAATGAAGATAAGTCATTGATCAATGAAAAGCTGCGAAAAATGAATTTAAAGGAAATCTTCTGGTTATTTTAAAATAACACAGAAATAATTTTTACAGCATATTTTATGTTTTTATAAGAGTATTAATACATTAAGAATATATTTTTACATATATTAACATATATTACATGTATGTTACATGTTACATATTACATATATTACGTATATTTTCAATATGCGCATTGAAAATATTACAATACGTGTGTTTACTTTCTATACGAATGTTTACTTTAATTATTAGAAATATCCTTTTTGTAAACTCTAGCAAATCCCGTTAGGAATAAATTCCTATTGCTTTAATAAAAGATACATTTGCAATAAATATGTAAATAAATTGAATGACTACATGCGATATTTGACTTCATTCTCTAAAGTCTTTTCCCAACCTCATTTTAAATTATTCTGTAGATATCTCATTCAAAAAATGAACCTTTAGACCTAATCTTCATTTTCTTGAGTTTTAAGAAAAGGCGAAAAAATTTCAAAAATCTAAATAAAATTTGTCAAACATTTTCAAACTGTCAAACACAAATTTCAAAAAAACTGTTAAACATTTTATCGAAAATCATATATTGAACGTTTATAGAGTTGTTTTTTGATTGGTCAACAAAAATCTCAAAATTGAAATAACAAGATTTAAGGGAAAAAATGGCAACGTTACAATGTGAGGAAGAATCAATTTCATTAATTTCATTGCCTTCAACTTGTTTTCATTCTTCTCGAGATGTTTTTGCGTTCAAAATGAAATGAATCAAAACAAAATCTTCAACAAACAAATAAATACTACTCTTTTAGTTTTCTTTTTGTTTTCTTAGGGAAAAATTTACTCTTCTCAGAAGACTGTCTAAAGATCGATAATTGGGGGGTCAAATATTCATACGTGCATGATATGCCATATTAAGTTGTTTTGAAATCAATCGTTTTCTATACGGATTGTGACATGCATATATAAATACGAGCCTGCCCCCCAATTATCGATTCTGTGTCAGTCCACGATCATTTTAATAAACAATGTATCATCTTTAATATACTGACGATTTTTTAAACTTTCCAATGGCATGAAGAGAGGTGATCCTGAAGCGATATTCATATCTGACTTTGGTCGCTGAAATGAGGAACTTTGAGGATCTGAATGAAAAGCATCAATCATGTGATCACCATTTCCTTGATCCATTAACATCATTGTGATCTTTTTTTGAAATGGCCATGTTTGAAGTGCATCGTAGTCACCTATGAATAACGACGTTTAATTGAAATATATATATGTTTCTCCTTATTTTATAAGCACAATCAAAGCTTAATTAAACGTGGACTAAATGATATAAAGAAGCAAATGTTCTAACAAAGATAGAGCACACACGGTAGTGAACTTGGAGACAGCAACAAGTACAAAATTCCAAAAAACACCTTTACCTTTCATGACAACAAAGAACAAGGATAAATGAGTTCCCTTTCCAAAACCATCGCCATTCATATAGATTTTAGCACACATCTTGTAACCATATTGAGAACTGTAGAATGGTGGACTGTACAAGGCTGTTTTTATACCATTAATGGCGTCCTGTCTTTTTCTATTGAAGTTATCTATTTTCCAAAGTAAAGTACCATTATAGCTGTGTATGGCCTGATTTGATCCCAGTGCATGAGCGCCACGTTGTGCCTTAAGGTCCGTAATCTTCACTGTGTTTAGAGCAAGTGATTCTTCATTTTGATCTAAACGTTCACGAAATCGTAGAATAGTTGAAGAATTATCTCTCACTTGTCGCTCGAGAGTCGCAATCCTATCACGCATCGAGGAAACCTCTAATGACGAGTTGGCATTATTACTATCGTTATCGCCACGAGCCTCGAGACTTTCAATCCTTCTTTCAAGACCTGTAAGTTTACCCACTAACATAACAAATTTTTCTGAGAGATTAGCACGAACAGCAGTAACTTGATCAGCCATGTTTTGAACAGCAGTGGTAAACTGTGGACGTGGTACATAGTTACTTAACTGTGTAATGAATGCCATAACATATTTTAACAAGAGGCTCACATGATGAATGACACTGTCAATCATATGTTGTTGAATCTCACGTCTTTTCAATGTCTACAAAATAAAGATGTCAGTTTCGGTTGATGCGTATACTTGTTTCCATACTCCAAGATGTCCGTATCAATCATTGCCGATACATTTTTCAAATAAAAAAATGTTTCATGGTCAAATATAACGTCTTTCTTAGGTATATATACACTGTGTCGTTGAATCATTGCGAATATGAAATATTGAAATAGTAAAATTGTCCAAATCTTCTTACTTTATCATAGTTACATCCAATAGCTTTAAATTCACATTTCGTCGGCACCTCGTCACAAGTCGTATTTTGATGTTGTTCAATATCTTTTCTTGGTATCTTTTTCTTACAATAATCACAAACCACAGGATAATTTTCACACACATTTTCTTCGTGATCCTGCATGAAAATGAAAGCTAGTAATAAGTTAGTGGTAAACTTCTACATAATTTCTTGGACGATTAAAAGAGTGGTTTTTTTTTATGAAATCATCCATCTTCTGCGTTTTTTTGATCAGAATATTCTACAATACCTTGAGTGAAGCATACGGGACATCTTTACCACAATATTCACATTTCACGTTTCGATATTTACAATCATTCTTCAAATGTTCGTCAAGGAGAGAGCGAGGTAGCTGAATCTTACACTGTTTATGTATACAGCTGATGAGCGCATGCTCACAAACTTGAGAATGAACCTGATGAAAAGAAGCATATGTGAGAAATAAGGTCATGTTGTTTTGATAAGTTTCCTTGCTCAACTCACTTTCAATTCTTCGTAGGTACCAAACAAAGTGCATTCGTCAGAGGGACAATGTAAACGGATCCCTTTTAACTCACGCTTTGTGAAAGCATCAGGAAAAACCTACATAAAACAATGGAAATTAAGAGTAAAATTAGGTAGTAAATGTTAATTTTTTTGTGTTTATTTATGGCGAAAACCCGAGCAACGATACAGCAAGTGAATTTCATGTCAAAACTTTACACTTTGTTTAAACTTACATTGTTCTTTTTCAATTTTTCTTGATCTTCAGGACATTTTGGATCTGGACTTCTACAAATCAAAAAAATCATAAAAACTACTGAGATTATGTTAGAATATCTAAATGACGATGTTTGTTAACTTAGCAATGATAATAAATATTAATTTAAACATACATGTCTATTTTCGTATTGTAGTTATCAAATACAAATAAAGGAAAAAATTGAAAAACATGATGACAAGGAATTTCGACATGGATGAATATAATACGACACAAAAGCACAATTGAATATTGGATAAATGATCGAGATGAAAAATATCACATATGGTTGGTGAAACCAGAGGTGTAACTATTGCAAAAGGTTTTATATTGTATTGCTACATTACGCCAAGGAGAAAAGGGTCGAAGAAAGAGCGGAAAAAGATAGGTACGTAGACAGAATGATAAGAATAAAGATATGAGCTTAGGACTAAAAGTAGGGACTCTGAATTCTGTGACTGTGGTAGGAGATGTGATGGACATGATGCAAAGGAGAAAAGTAGACATCTGGAGTGAAAAGGTAGCAAAGCTATAGACGTAAGAATAGAAGTATATCAATCTGGTCTATTTTGGTGTTGATCGGGAACAAGAAAAGAAAAGTTATCCTGTAAGAGGTCACTGTTCAGAATGTTCTACAAAGGTAAAAATGTCATACATGTGATCATTAATATAGTAAGTGGTTATGTTCCGCAGTGGGACGCAATACTACTAAGAGATAAACATTGGGATAAGGATAAGAGACGATATTCTGCTATGTGCAATAATGATAGTAAAAATTCTATCCAAAAATTCTCAAAAATTAATACTTCTGGTAGACAGTTTTGATAAGCAACTACCTTACCTAATTAAGTTATCCAAACAAGATTGACAAAACAAATGTCCACACGAGGTCTGCATTGGATCGACAAGAAGGAGATGACAGTAAGTACAAATATACTTCGCGTTGATTTTTTGCCGATCTTCATCACGGATCTTGATTCCTGGCATATTGAAATACTTTAAATCTTTTTCCAGTTTCAGTGAAACAAGCTAAAGCAACATTATTTAAGTATAAAAACACAAAGTTCGACAACTTTTGGTCGGCTAAAACTGCAAATCTTATGTGAGAAATTTATATTTCATTTTTCATTTCTGATAATAAATAATTATTGGATAATGTCAAGCGTGATATCCGGAATTATCTAAGGAGCTGTTCACATCAAACCGGCAACAGGGATTCAGCACGGCGTGAAATGATTTGAGTCATTGAAAGGAGTAAAAATGTTAAACGCAAAACTTACAACCTATTCTTAACCGTCATAAGTCATTTTAGTGGTAACTTTCAAATCAGGCTAAAATATTTGTTTCTATTTTAAAGTTTTTGTGAATTTGCAAAGTCAGAGCATAGAGAAATTGCTGACATAAGAGTATTTAATCTTTTCCATTTGCAAAAATGATTTAACGCTTCGCCGAATCTCGGCTACTGGTCTCATGTGAACAGCCCCTAAGTAGAGGTTGGCGTTATCAGTAGAAGACATAGGCTGAGAGGGGAGAAACGCCAACGAAGATTAGTAAATAACATTCATGTTGCAAAACCACTCATTCATTGATCGTGACTAAAACACCACACAAGTACATACAAGTACATACGAGTACATATGAGTGACATACGAGTACATACAAGTACATACGAGTACATACGAGTACATTTGAGTGACATACAAGTACATACAACTGACATGCAAATACATACAAGTACATACATCTGACATGCAAATACATACAAGTACATACATCTGACATACGAGTACACACGTCTGACATATGAGTACATACCAGTACATACAAGTGACATACGACTATATACTTGTCACAAACGAGAAATAGCATAATTTCTTCAATAATACATTCATATTTGCATTAACTTTTCCCTGTATTTGTCTGGACTCTAGGGCAACCATCTGATAGATTTAAATGCTGAAAAAGTATTTAACATTCATTTGTATGTTTCAGTAAAATTTGTTGTCTGTTGTGCGCAATGTCTTAATCTATTAAACGGTTTAAATGTATCAACAATGGTAGTCTTGCTTTGGAGTTGCCATAAAGTAAACTCTCGTACAAAAAATATTGAGCAGTTATTCTGAGAACTATTAGCGCATGTGTACACTATTTGTAATCTTATATTAATATATTAATAAGTTAAAAATCTTGGACAAAAATAAGAATTAGATGTACTTGTAATATAATTAATTGATGTGGATTTACTCCTCAAATGTTGCATTCATTTTATTTATTCTACCAAAGAAATATGAGGTAGTTTAGTAAGGAATCAATAAGATTGCACATTAGCTCATATCCAGCCTCTTTTTTAAAATTTATAAATAATTTATTTAAGTCTTTAAGATACTGATTTTACAGTTCAAAGACTGAATTACATCAGCTAGAACTTAGAAAAAATTAAAAGTAATCAGAAATTGTACGCATAATATGACACATATACGTAACACAGTGCAACTGTCATTTAATTCAAATATATATAATGTACATTTATTTCATATAGCACGTTTTGAAAGCATTATTTATACGTGGTTTATTTTATCGCTTTCATAAATATAGTGTGTCAAAAAGCGCTCAAATACTGGCAAATCGCATCGACAAAATACGTATAACAAATTCAACTGAAACATACAAATGAATGTAGTTTGAAAGTAAATACCTTTTCAGCATTTAAATCCATTAAATAGTTGCCCCAGAGTCCAGACAAATACAAGGAAAAGTGAACGCAAATATCAATGTATTATTGAAGTACAATTGTGTTATTTCTCATTAATGCCAGTATAGAGTCGTATATCACTCGTAAGTACTCGTATGTACTCGTATGTCACTCGTACATACTCGTATGTACTCGTATGAATGTATATAAATTGCCAATATTTGTCACTTACCACTCACAAGTCCAAAATTTCGAAATTAATTCAAGCGACGTATCTTGAAAACTATCACGGTAACTATAATAATGAAGCACTGTAATAATGTTCGAAACATTTTATGCTTTCATCACATAAACAAACTTACGCAAATTGGCAAAATAAGAACATTCTATGTACGTAACTCTGACGATGACGTGGGTGACTCACAATTTGACGTTTATGACTCATTAAATTACTTTCTTGCATTCTTTGTTGTTCGTGCAAATTTCATTACGTTTTTAAAAGTAAATGGTTTGAACATGACAGTATGTTTACATGTTTGTAGACGCATATCATTCAGTCTTGAGAAGGTGTTGATTTTGATTGACGTTAGTCAAAGCGGTAGTCATCTTCATTTCACACCGATACATTTCTACTGACGTGCCTACATTATCATATCGTATAAACAAAACGTTGCAACACTGAAAACTTGATATTTATCTCAATTTTCTCTTCACTTTTGACTATCGCTAAGAATGGCAAAACATCAACACAAATAACAGCAGTTCCTCTCGTGAAGTCACTAATCTAGAACTTAGTGGAAAATCATGACAAGTGAAATACGTCTTATGTTTATAGTAACGTTGACAAGGGGGGAGGGAAGGAGGGGCTTAACCCCTCCAATAATAAGAGGCAACGACTTTGCAAAAAAAGACGAAATCAGGATAAAAATAAGTAATGGAGAGGGGTGATACCAAGTAGACTACGTATGTTACTACCAATACCAACTCGTTTAATCCACAATTTGTCTACCAAGATTTTTACAATCGAACAGAAAAAATGAATGTCTTCAGTGGCTACTTAACGTACTTTGACACTTTGATCAGACAGGGGCCAGTTTTCATCGAGATACCGACACACGTCTATCTTTCACACACACTTTCTGACAGCATGTTGTCCCTAAATTCTTGGTGTGTTGTCAAGCAATACTCTCCTTGAGTTTCTGTTTGGCCTAGATACTCGTCGTATTCAAGCGCTTTTTCATGGCAACATAAACACTCGATTGCCTTTTTCGACAAAGTACAATGTCCACACTTACACCAACTAAGAGTTTGAAGGCGCCAAG